TAAGCCATGGATTCGGTTAAGGATATCTCATTCTCTTATTGTATAGCTCAACATTGCAAGAAATTGAATCGTATATAAGAGTTTACATAGTGAGATTATTTTTGTTGTCAACTGAGGACAAAGATACCAATGTCCGACGTCGCACCTGTACTAGTGACCATCTCTGCATAAGGACCATCTGGTCACGTTTGGTAATCCCTTATTAGAATGTTCCCATTGGCCCAAGCATTAAGGACCCTGTCTATAGTAGCCATCTGTCTACCTTGACATTTTTCCTGACTGATGCCGGGTTTTACTAAACGACTGCTGTCGTGCAAAACGTGATATGAACGCAGCTTCACCTATTATCATTTCATACCTCCAAGGCATCTTGAAAATTGCATACGTGGATACTTTCTAACCACGAGTATTCGATTTCGTCGTAAAAATAGGCTTATTACATCGCTACTGACGTATGTCTCTGTGGATTGTCACATGTAATTTTTCCTCCGGACTTCTCAGAAGTAATAGTACGTGTTTATGACTTCCGTGTACGGACGTATTGTTTTGTGTGGGTTTGTGCGTATGGTCTTCACGACAGAGTAGATTGACAGCTAATAATATCACAACTAAGGCGAAACAGACATTGGGAGTGATTAAACGTAATCTGTGGGCATGTCCAACGAGAGTAAAATCACTTGCATACACGTCACTTGTAAGACCGAACCTAGAATACGCTGCGACAGTATGGGATCCATATACAAAGAAAGACAAAGACAAATTGGAAAGGGTACAGAATCAAGCTGCAAGATTCTGTATGAACAACTATGTAAGAGGTGCTAGTGTCACGGAAATGAAAAGAAACCTACAGTGGACCTCACTTGAAGACAGAAGAAAGATGTCTAGACTATGCATGATGTACAAAATGACTAATAAACTGGTGGATGTCCCAACTACTAAGTACCTAATACCAGCCCAGAAGAGAACAAGAAATAGCCACGCATTCAAGTACCAGAGTTATCAACCAAGGATTGAGGTGTTCAAGAATTCATTCTTTCCTAGAACTATCGCAGAGTGGAACTCACTGTCACCAAGTACAGTAGGGGCACTGTCAATAGATAGCTTTAAACAATGTCTAGAGCTAGAAGTTCAAGGGTTAGGTGTAACAAGTCGATCGGTGTAATATAGCCAGCTGCCGCCGCGCCGCGTGCCTGCGAAGCTGGTGTGTTACGCCGAAAGGCGGTTATACCGGCTATACAGATACAGATACAGATACAGCACATGGTGGGGGAAGATTGACAGGTAGAATGACAGGAAGTCAGGAGGTTAGATAAATGAGGAACACGGGGTATGGCGAATCTTCAATTTCATTTCTTCACGTTTTCTTCTTGTCCTTTCGAATTGGTTTCGGCATTCTGTGGCATAAATATGGTGTTCCAATATTTTTCTTGCAATTTACGGTATATTTTTGCTCAATTTGTAGCCGCTTTTTACGATTTACAGTATGGTCGAAAATAATTTTTGTTAAAATGATGAAAATTCAAGCGCGCGCATGTCATCATATAATCAAATAAACATGACCTAAATTCACACACACACACACACACTATACACACACACAATACTAACCCAGTAACCGCAAGTCTAAAATCTCCCATTTTTTGTTCTAGTGGATTTTAGTTCTCCGAGAATACCCCATGTTCTGCACAATTAGCTTTTACTAACATAGAGGCTGACGCAGATCTCTTCAAAGTAATTGTGACGACGTCCTTTTCAATAGGTAATTTTCAACCATAAGTGTTCACATGTAATTTCCAATTCCGCTCTCCGTATCAAGTATTTTCTGATGAAGGGTATTGAAGGCAACAGCTGCTAATTTTCAAACGGAAGTCTTGTGGAGCACTGTCACGTTTTAATGGCATCTGGGTTTTTGAAGAACAGTAGTTCTGTGAACTGAATAGTAAAGTTCTTTATATCCACAATAACGTGTTTAAAATAAGCTGACGTTTCGAACCAGTTCGAACCGGCTCAAACCAGTTATGACTGCCCTAACGAAGATGAAAGACGACCACCGAACCGTTGGCTCTGGTTGAACAAGTGGTTGTGAATAAAGAGCTTTATATTTTTTGCTATTTTAATCCTTCACCAACCTGGTTATATTATTCACAGAATTGTTGAGTAAAGTATACAAATCGGGGGCTCCACTGCAGTGCAAAGGAAAGCTGCTAGGAGGCTCACAAATGGCGTGCAACGTCGGTACCTCAACAGCTATTCATGGCCAAATATAACAACCCAATGACGGCATCTACGTGTACTAGTAGGTCAAACCCTTGCCCACATACATCCGGACATACATCATTTATGATATTCCAGCACAGATATGTGAGTCTTTTTCACTATATCAAAGTTCTCATTTTTCAGTTGATAATACTTTTACGAAATGCAAACTCTCCCAGTACCTTATATAAGCACTCCCAGAGTACTACGTGCTGACAAAATTTAACATGCAAAAAATAATGAGAAAAAAATTGCCTGTCTTCTTTGATGTCCTTATTAACCACTGGCTACCTTATGCTGAAAATATTAACCCCGAAGCTAAATACATATATAGCGTGCACGTGGGAAGGGTCTGCTTTTATGTTGTATTCCTTTTGTATTTAAGTTGTATAGCAGATGTAGCCGCCGACCGGCTTGGGATAGATCTAGAGATATCATTTTACCAAACGTACGTCACACGAGTGAAATTTTGAAAAACATTCTGCTAATTATGTGTAGGAGTTGGCAGGAAGACAACTGTATTCCTACATCAATGAGTTTTTTTTTTCAATTAGGCCATGTTGATTTGATTATATGGATGACATCCTCTGGGAACCCCAAAACTGATGCGCGCATGCGAATAAAAAAAAGTTTTGAAAAAAAAAAAGTTGCTTTCACTATGAAATCTACGTGGTCATGAAGGTTAAAAAAATGGCACAGAATATGTTATGGCGAATAATCTACTCTTCGAATTCATTTCTTTACATTTTTGTCTTTTTTCCTTTGATTTTGGCATTCTACGACATTGGTATCGTTTCTAAATGTTTTCCTTGCAACATATGGTATATTTTTGCTCATTTAGCAACTGTTTTGCACGATTTACAGTATGGTTGAAAACATTTTTTTTTTTTGGAAACGGCCGAAAATTCATGCGCGCGTGGATGTCATCCATATAATCAAATCAACATGGCCTTACGTTTTGTAACTTTGTATATCAAAGGCATCCAACGCAATTTCAGGGTGGCCAACCTGGATTTTCAATTTCAATTTTCTGATCATTCTTTTAATGTTGGTAAGTTGAATCAATCCCGTCCCATAGCATACTCATTTCCTGTTCAAGAATATTTCTGTTTTGCTGCCCTGAAATTGCATTGCTTGCATATGCATGGGTTATTTGAGGTTATTTAACTTCATGGGTTATTTGGGGTTATTCAAGTTACTTGAGACATTGGATATCCTTTTTATATGCAGAAGGATGTTTTTCAGCTTTTACATAACCCTTAGCATAGACAAAAAATTTGAATATGGTTGATTCAATTTTTTTTTGCAAACCAGAAAAATGAAGTGGGCGAATCCGAGAACTAATTAATTAAGATGCTGTGGCCTATAACAAATATAAAATACCTTGTATAACAACATGTGTGATATCTATTGCAAAAGCATTATAAGATGCCCTGTAAAGTGAATTCTATTGCATTTTACATTCAGCATTTTTGCATGTGACTGAGCTAAAATGAGTTCATGAAACCTGTTGATTATGTGTGGGAGTTGGCCTGAGGACTGTATATCTACATCAAGGAGTCGTTTTAACTTCAATGACTGCATGAAGTTATTTGAGCCATTGGATATCCTTTTGATGTACAGATGCCTTTCAGCTTAGTGCAGTTTGCACGATGCTCGGCATGGATTGAAAATTTGATGCTATTATGGATGCTGAGTAGTGGATGTCACTCAAAACATCCAAAGTAACCTCTGTAATCCATCCATCCAGTAGTTGAGTTTGATTTTTTCCAAAATCTAAACATTTTCAATAGAATCTCTGAAACCCATACTTCTGTATCTGTATCTGTATAGCCGGTATAACCGCCCTTCAGCATAACACACCAGCTTCGCAGGCACACATCGTGGTGGCAGCTGGCTACATTACACCCAATGACTTGTTACACCTAACTCTTGAACATCTAACACCTAACTAATTATGTTCTTGTCTTGTTTGTTCAGTACTGTATAAACTGTCGTATTGTTTATATGTATGTACCCAGGGCCACTCTGAACAGCAGTGGTAAGTCACTGATGAGTGCCACCCTGGATACAGAAAAAATAAATAAAATCTTTTGCGACCACTTTGGTAGAGGTAATTTTAACTACTGTAAGCATATTTGAATGATGAGTGTGGTAATCAGATAGCTTAGATTAGAATGAGGCAGGAATATACATCATGTAAATATGCTGTTTGCTGCAAAAATATTGTTTTAGATGATCTTAAATTCTTATGGACTTATTAAAGCATGAACATACATATAAAACAAGTTGTGATATAATATATTGTAATGCTACTTCTGGCTACATGTACAATGTACTGGCTTATGTACATGTACTTTAGTTCCGAGGCTTGGTACATGCACTGTTAGCAAGAGCTGCAAGGGGGCGTAACTTGTACATTAAACTATGAGGAATGTAAACTATAGGCACATTTTCACTGTACAGGTCCAGTGGTTAACAACCCTGCCTCTGTACCTAAAAGTTGGGAAATGAAATACTGTGTGTTGACAATGTCACTCTCCCAACTTGTGCCTTAGTTAAAGATAAGTTATACCTTGAGTTTGTAGAAGGAAAGTATTACATTTTTGCTCTGTTTCTTCTTCTTCTGCAAACATATAAGGTCAATGACCTGGACCAGATGTCTGTCACCATGGTAATAAGTGATGCTGTAGCAGACACCCTGTGGTGATGGCTTACATTATGTAGCAAAGGCAGGACAGACCTGGAGGGGCTCTTCACCATACATGTACTAGTATACAAATGTGTATGAGTAATGTGTATGAGTAAGAATAAACAGAGCAGTAGTTTGTTAACCAGTGTGCAGGTAAACCTTATGAATTTTTCAATTTGCCTTGCAAATGTTACTAGTACCTTTCCAGTTTTTCTGTGAGTTAGTAAAGGACTTATATATGCTTAAGACGCTTGCAATATGGTATTAATAATAAACCTCTGAATTTGTTGGTAGAGAGTTCACATTACATGCAGTGAGTCAGGGTTTTGCTCCCCAACCCAGTACATACTGCTTTTTCTGCTTCAAACTCAGAACAAATGTAGAAGGGAAGTTGAACGCACTCCACTGCTAGTGGACTAGCCTCCTGCTGTAGTGATTGCACAACTGCGTGGCCAAAGGGCTACAGTGACAGAGGTGAGCACCATGTGAGGTTGGATGAATGGCAACTATAAATGAATTGTCTTACTTTATATTCAGTAGTTATGTGTGAGCTAAGTAAAACCAGTGCAGGAGGCAGAAATACCATTGAAATAACTGGGAGTCCCAAACCAAAACAACAACTGGGGTTCCCAAACAAACAAACAAACAAACAAAACAAACAATGAATGCTTCTCAATCTTAGATTATTTACAACAACAACGAACAATTGTAATAAAGTTGAACTAAGTGAATCTCATCCCCACGCTTGAGTCTTGCAGTAGTGAAGTATGAGTTTTCCATCGCTGCCGAAACACTGGAGGGACAAGAAAAAACAGGTACAAGTCCATCATCACTCTTCTAACAATGAAGACAAAATGCACTTGACATTGTTTGGTCTATGACATTCTATGAAACAATGGTAATGTAAAATACCTTGTATAACAACATGCATGAAATATATATTGCACAAGTATTACGAAATACCATGTAAAGTGATTTTTAAAATAATTTGTGTGTTATACACAGCATTTTTGCAGTGACCCAAGCTTTCTACCACAAATTCATGATACCTCTTGGATACCTACTAATATAGTACTAAACTAAATTGCAGATTTCAATAAATGCAAAAATCTTATTTTCTTCTGTTATATACTTACTTCATATAGGTTCTGCATTTCCTGGTCTGGTGATGGTGCAAAGGACTGGTTAACATACAGGAACTGTATAGGGAGAAAAAGGATACATAAATTCCATTTTTTGCATCAAGATTTTCAAAATTATTATGTGCTAAATGTCATAAGGCTGAGAGTGTCAAGCATGGTACATGTGTATATGACATAAGAATGGTAAACAAGGTAGATGACATACACACACACATATATATATATATATATATAGTAAGCATTGTACATGGCATAAGCATATGGTAAGCATGGTACATGGAAAAGCATATGGTAAGCATGGTACATGACATAAGCATGGTACATGACACAAGCATGGTACATGACATGAGCATGGTACATGACATAAACATGGTACATGACATAAGCATGGTACATGACATAAGCATGGTAAGCATGGTACATGACATGAGCATGACATACAAATGTGTAAGACTGTACGGTTTGATCCACTGACATTGGCCTTTTGCTAATTGTGGTAGGATCTTTAACATGCTTGAGGAGTGACTCTCTTCAAACAGAGGACCCTGTCTTGGTTTAAGTTAATGACAATTTAATAAAACATATTATTCTTAAAAGGGTACATAACCCTGTAAGGGGCATGAGTGTACCTGACCAACACAGTCAATTGATGATGATGCTACAAACTCTCACCAGTGACTCGTGTGGTTCACACTTGATGTATTTCCTGATGAACTCGATGATCCAGCTGACCTTCTTGGTCGGGTCCACCGCCCATTTCTTCTTCTTCATGATCGGGGCGTCGCCCGCACCTTTCAGGAGAACATCAACTGAACAATAAAAAATAAACAAAAAAATATGAAAAACAACAATAACAAAGAGATTTCAGACTTCCTGGAAGTATTTTGGGTTTTTGAAGTCTTCAACTTCAAGTACACAGACCTCCAGAAAGTGTTTTGGGTTTTCGTGAAATTATGTATTGGCACTGTAGGGGGGGACAAGAGCATAATAAAATTTGATTGGTTCACCAGTATATTATATTACAGCAATTCCTGAATTCCTCCATATACTGCCCACTTACTCCCAACTGGATTCTGACAGAACTTCAACTGTCAAAATCACTGTGACAAAAATAATTCCCCATAGTCAATAGCGAGGAACATTACATGATGTCGTCTGAAACGTAATGCCCCCCTCCCCACCTCTGTTGTAAATATGTAGTTTTACACAGGTTAATCTACACTACAGTCGCAAAATATCTGGGTATATGGAGAAAAATGTGTGAGGTCCTTACTCTTCTTTCTCTGGTCTGAAGTCTGAGGAAAAGAGCCCGCTTCCGCAGACGTTGGCGAGGCGACTTCTGTTTTCTCTGTTGTTTCGGCCATCTTGTTCCTGGACCGTGCTACTTAGTTGTGGCACAGGGGTGTTTACTGTATTATTATTGGCGACTCAAAATAACTCCAGTTCACTGAAACATGGTTCTAACAATATCTTTTTCATTATAGACAAGAAGTTTTGCGTCGTTCATTGCCTCTGCACAGCCTTTATGATGTTTTACACACATCAGTCTTTGGTGACTACACAGCTCAACTGCGCTACCTTGCGATTTGTATAAAAACTGCAGTCAACCACAGTAATCCAACATGGCGGCGCCCAGGAATTTGTTTTTCTCAGAAAAGAGGTAAACATCGGTGATTTTCAGCGATTTTCACTCCAAATCAGACCGTGTCACGATGGTGGACGATCCACAGAGGAACTTTCGCTCGCACTACTACGAGAAAGTCGGTTTTCGCGGTGTTGAGGAAAAGAAATCGCTGGAAATCTTGCTGAAAGAAGAGACGATCGCCTTGAATAAACTACAGACGTTTGTTTTGAGATTCCCCCTCCCCGCCCTCTTTAGACCGCTGGTTTGGAAAGTCTTACTAGGTGAGTTACTCATCTTTAACTAATTAACAATGAAGATATGGCCAAATATATCATGATACGATGCTCGCTATACGCAAGATAGTTAAGATCTATGTTTGTTATTGTTTTCCACAGTGGCATAAAATAATTCAGTTGTGATGAGAAAGTAATATAGAGATTCTTAAGACTAAGAAAACATCGAATATCTTTTGCCAGGTGTCTTACCGGTACACAAAGGGGTTTATGGAAAATGTCGGGCTGTCTACCATGCCAAGCTACCAGACCAGGCTATCCTAGCCTTTCCATAAACCCTACACAAAGATAATCATCATGAGACTGTTCTTTTTCCCATGTGTCCTCCATGTACACAAAGATGCTCATGAGTTTATGATCAGACAGAAGGGTTTCCAGAAAAGGCTGGGCTGTCTACCATGTCAGGATACCAGACCAGGCTACCCTTTTCATAAACCCTACACAAACTGACAAGATTTGTTCTCTTTCTCAGGCGTCCTCCCTGTACACAAAGATGCGCATGAGTTTGTAATAAAACAGAAGGAGGAACAGTATCAGGACATGAAACATGCTCTAGTGGTGATGAGGTACATCAACAACAGCTCCTCTCTCCCTGATATCTTCCTCAAGATGCATCAGATGGAGGAAGGAAGGTAGGAACAAGAGTTTCATGATCTCATACCTTCGCCAAATAATGCTGTCCTTTACAGCTATCCACTTAGACCAAGTTTCATGACAATCCATCCATATAGCTTCTTGAATTATCTTGCTAAACCACATACAATATACACACATGCATTTTCTTGTACATACACATTTGCATACATACACACAGATACATTATGTGTGGATTAAAGAAACTAAAACTGTTCAAAAACCATTGCCACTGTTTCTTTTATTTCTCATGAATGGAAACAGCTAAGGAAAATTCACATACACCTACATGTACAATTTTATGTATATTGAGTACATGTACATGTACTAACTGCATACAGGTGCGATTTTGAACCTTAATGGCTCAGATGCATATCCTTGTTTTCTTGTCCAAACCCTACAGACTGTTACTGGAGGAACCTGAGGAACTCCTGCCAGCTGATCAGACCTACGTTACCATAGCGACCAGGATAACAGAGATGATGGAGGATGAAGTCTTCACCTTCTTCCTGTGTGAGGAGTTTCACAGGAGGTTACAGGAGCCAAAGTTCAAAGGTCGGATTCTAGATACTAAGTTTTTTTACTGTAGTATTTGTGTCTAGCTTGACTACATCATGCTTCCACTGGTCAGGCACTTGAAGCTTGATGGCCAACACCTCTAAGCTGCCTCCTTGCTCTTGGAACATAGAGGTTAAGTCTACCATGAAAACTTGTATCATGGCAGGCAGCCTGTGGTTTTGGGTCCAATTATGTAGCAAGTACATTGTATATATAATATATAATATATAATGTGTTTGAGTAGTAGTAAATGAGTATTTTTTTTCTATTCCAACATTTATAAGAAGACATGGCGATGGCACACTCAAGTTTTTTCAACTTATTTTTATGCCGCCACCAACACAGACAAACGCACAAATGGACAACAGACATTGTACTCAGTTTCACCCGAGTGAAGTGAGGAAATTCCAATAAAGTGCCTTTTCCAAAGGTACTATATCAGTGGCATGGCAAGATTCGAACTCATGACCACTTGGTTCCAAGCCAAACACTCTTCCGATTGCCACACGACCCTACACAATTAGTTTGTTGGGATATAACATTCAAGCTAAAGCAAATGTTACACAAATGTTACCTCAAGTTTCTAGTACCCACACAATATATTAGATGAAGTTATTTTTGTCATGTAATAGTATGCTGTTTCCTCTTGCAGAGTCGATCCCAGTGATGATAAAGAGACTAGTTCAGTACCTGCAGACAGAGGATCAGACCCTGTACACACACATGCTCAACACTGGCATCCTGGGGGCTCTGCCGTGTGAGAGGTGGTTCGGAACATGTTTCGCTCACATTCTACCTGAAGTCTGTGTGCAAAGAATCTGGGACAAGGTAATCTTATACATTGTAGTACCAGCATTTAGAAATTCAATCCAATTTTTAATTGATTGCTAGCAGGGATCTAATAATATGCTCTATATTTTAACTAGACAAGCTTCATTTTAGTGTTATGAATAATAGTGTATTACATGTGTCAGCTTAATTCAGATTCACACAGTGTATCCCTGCAGCTTGTTTGTTTATTTATTTGTTCCAGGTGATAGCTGGTTCCCACCGGTTCATAGTGTTTGTAGCCCTGCAGCTTGTTGGTTTATTTGTTTGTTTGTTTATTTATTTGTTCCAGGTGATAGCTGGTTCCCACCGGTTCCTAGTGTATGTAGCCCTGTAGCTTGTTTGTTTGTTTATTTGTTTGTTTATTTATTCCAGGTGATAGCTGGTTCCCACCGGTTCCTGGTGTATGTAGCCCTGCAGCTTGTTTGTTTATTTGTTTGTTTATTTGTTCCAGGTGATAGCTGGTTCCCATCGGTTCCTGGTGTTTGTAGCCCTGCAGCTGCTAGTGACCTTCAGCAGGCAACTTCTCAAGATCAACAACGTGGAGGGGATGTTACAGTTCTTCTGTAACCTTCCCGCCGATAACGTGGACATGCTCGTAACCAAGGCAACCGAACTCTGGCAAAAACAGGGCAGTCCTTAGTAGTACTGTGTACCGGTTCACTGGACCAGTTCCGCACTTGTAAAAATGTTTAGGTTCAAGTAAAAACCGATTCCAGACTTATCACAAAAAAATGGCGTATATAACGTTACCCCTTTCCTTTCCAATTAATCACCTTAAACCTTCCATATAATTGCAAAATCTGTGCTGCAAAATGAAGAAAACATTGCCATCGGGCATCGTCAAGTGTCAGCCTCCGTGTTATGTGGCCACAGTTTTGCCCATATAATATTACAAGGTTGCCAACGTGCAATTTTGTATATGTCATGGGTTAAGTTCTGGAACTGAACCTAAATCTTGGACTTAAATCCAGACCTGAACCTAATGTGGCTTTAGGTATACAGCACTAGTCCTTAGTTCAACTGATGACCAACCCTGCATAAGGACAACCAGAATGTTGTGGCTACTTCTTGGGTGGCCCCTTAGATTATTTTTCACATTGACAGAAGCATAATGAGAATCATGTTATACTGACCACCCCTTTACTGTGACCATTTACTATAGACATATAGGTTTGCATAAAAGGATTGAAGTGACAAAACATGATATAACTGTTAACAGCCAACAACTCTTTCATTCCTGTATTCAAGAAGCACAAAAACATGCGAGATGCCAAGATGGGAGGACTTAACCTTTTATGATAACTTAATTTTTTTATTGGAAAGAGTCCACCAACATCTGTAAAACTACGTGTATGTGCTTAATACAACATGTTAAGAACTTGAAAAGCTATAACCACCCGGAACTTACATCATGCATTGTAGTCTGGAGAAGGTTCTAATTATCTTTTTATATTCTCTTGATTATAAACCATGCTATGCAAGATAATTATTCTCCTAAGCCCAAAGATCTTTCTTGATTTCTTCCACCATCTTCTTGATTTTCAGCATGAGGACACTGGTCTCCAATTCCTCCAGCTTCTCTGTAAATAAAGATCAAGGACCTCCTTCAAAGAGATGAAACAAACAACAAAATATCATATATATATATATATATATGGACAGGACCCGGATGTTCATTTCGTATATTCTTAGTCCTGTCCATCAGTTGCACCCTGGGATATCGCAATGCCTACACTGGGTCCAAGATTACACATTCTCGTACCCAGGGTCTTCACAACGATTAGCAAACTTGTTCTGCAATGGTATGAAAAATTTCACGATGACAAACGACGCCTTAAAACTTACCAGTCAGTTTTTCTTCTTGTACCTTCTTGTAGTTCTCTTCTGCCTTTACCGTCTGCGTTTGAAAACACAAATACAGAATAAAGAAGCAACACGTAACTTTACATCTATTTGGAATGCATTTTGAAGGCAATTTTAATACATGTAATTAACTTGATAGGCTTTACAAGTTTTCTTGAAAGTGGTTAAAAGTGTATGTAAATAATAGTTAATGATACAATGCTGTAAATAATTTTATGTAAAGGACTCCAGGAAGAATAGTGATGTATTATCACTAATGGGAGCTTCCTAAACAAACAAACAAACAAACCTGCGCTGCTTCCATGGCGATTGTTGGCTTGGGTTTGTCGAGGTGCATAAACTCAGCCATCATGGACTCCAGATCTCTTGTCTCCGAGGCCTTCTTGTAGTTCTCTTCTGCCTTTACAGTCTGCATTCAAGAAGCAAAAGATATCAAGGTTTTTGGCGACGTCTCAGGGAGGAGCCTAATAGTACAGTATTGTGTGCAGTTTAATTGCAAGAATTCTAGGAATGGTACAGGCATTTTGTCCACAGGCATGGAATGTCCACAGGCATTTCTCTGACCCACATCTATGCCCACATTCCTGAAAACCCTTGGGAAGATCTGTCTGCCCCGGATGGCCCTACTTTCTGTGACCCCGGGGCTCGTTCACTACACACTCAGAGGAGGAGTGCACTGTAGACACAGATACCAAGTCTTCCTCAAAATCATGAAATGATGGCAGTGCCATACAAACAATAACCCTAACAGCAACCACCGTCGCCATGGCAATGTATGTTTTCATTGCCAGTCTTGTTATCTGTATTATTAATGCCATATCAGAATGACATTGTAGTAAGTGTGTCATGGCCTAGATCGTGATGAAGATATAGCTACCGGTACTCCTTAAACGTGGAAATTATTTGGAAGGTATTTATTTAGCCCCTCATTGGCATTTTGTGCCTATGATAACCATGACTCAATTTCATTTATAGTCAAAGTAACTTGATGTAATATTTTACGGTCCAAGACTTTGTTATGTTTTATCAACGGCGTAAATAATAGTAATGCCACTTCATCAAATAACAATAACAAGAAATTGGAGCTCTTCCCTTAAAAATTGACCCTAAGGTCAATCTACAGTAACCAATTGCATTTGAATATGCTATCTACAATATACTATGATAGTTTTTTTAATACCTTACCTGTGCTGCTTCCAGGGCGATTGTTGGTTTCGGCTTTTCGATGTGCATAAACTCAGCCATCATGGATTCCAGATCCCTTGCTGCCTGTTGATAGCCTCTGTCAGCTAGAAGAAACCCTCAAGTTATTGTGAGTGTTCGTACCCCTGAGGGTATAACGTATAGTTTGGGAAAGGAGGTCACACCTGCATAAGAGTTGTCTATTGTCAATTGCTTCAAAGCAAAAAGCTGTTAACATAGCCTTTGGCTGTTTTGCAAGTAGATATATGTTGGTCTGACTTGTATTGTGTTTGTTGCTGTGCATAACTACATCTGTGTATATAAGCCTCTCTCTATCTTTCTGTCACTGCCCCTTTCTTTACTAATGAACTTTGGTTATAGTTAGACGAACTAAACGTTGTAACAACAAGTGTGGAAAAACTGAGAATGAGCCATATCCTTACAAGTTACATCTGCTTGGAGATTTAGCCTTTGGCTAGTTGAGCTATTGTATAATAAACTCACTACAACAAGAGGAATTTGTCCAAAAACTAGACCACATACATTGTAGTGGCCATCTGTTTCTTTACATCCAAGCTTGTGGAAGTTAAACAGGGTTCGAAGAATAACTGGGCTTCCTAAGTCCAACTCTCACAGTAATGTTTCAAGATCACCAGACGTTGGGTGGAGGGGTAGCGAATGACTTGGTGAAAACTGCCCGACATTTATTCTTCGTCGAGACCAAGGAGCTTATATAAGCATGCTGTACAGTTGTTAAGACATAGCTACTTCTTATCTTCACAAGTCTTCAAGTGGTCAACCGTTCCTTATCAATAGTTACACTTAAGACTTGTATGCCTTTTTGAGAATGAACTAATTTAACCCCAATCTTCGCGCGGTTGTATAAGCCCCCCCAACAAGTTTCCTTGTCATACGTTATCTACAGTTGGCGGCACCTGGCGACACTAACTGTGAAATCCACCCCATATACACTACAAGAGCATTTTAGCTTCCTCCTTCTGTTTCCCTGAGACAAAAAGGTGCATACGGGTAAATTTCAAGACAATTTTGTATGACTATTAGAGTACGTTTGTTGTTTCCCTACATTTATAATCCAAGCATGTAAGAATATGCCTATAATACTTGATAATGAATAAAAGTCTCCTAAAATGGCTACTACTAGTATTCTCAAAGCAGAGGTTTTGGCTTTTGGGCACTTTTATTGGGCTCTCGCTTTGTACTGGTATCTTTTCAGTCAATCTCTCACTCTCTCACTCACTCACTCAACCACTCACTCACTCAAAAGATCTGCTTGGATATGATATAATGGCTACAGGGTCTACAGATAGCCAAGTGTACTGTATACATACCTGGTAAACTAAAGGCAACCACAGGGAGAAGAATAAGACAAGTGTAGAGGAACGTCTTCATCTTGAAGATTGTCTTGCCGTGTAAGCGTCAGTTGATGACCTCTGCTACCCACTGCTGAAATGGTTAACTGTTAGGAACAAAAGATTGTAACTAGTCTGTCCACTTCTGTCAACGGTTATATAAGATATGTGTTGGCGTCCTTTTAAAATTTACCACCTGATCGTGATATCATTTTGAAAAACGTTATATTTTTAATAGGTATGAGAAAGGCCAAGTCAAGAAGAATTGATAAAAAGTATACTTTATATGTATTTTAACAAAAAAAATCAATTGATATATGGTGCTACCTAGAATATGGTATCCACCTGCAAATGCCCTCAGGTGACATTTAAAAGATCGTTTAGGTCACTGAGCATGATGCCCTAAACCCAAAGTACACACAAACATGCACATGGGACTTATTTTGTTTACCATTTTTTTATTGAACTTAACTGTACAAACAGTGGTCATGGTGTGTCAATTATTAGCATTGTTACCTGGAATATATTGGAAGTCTTTCTACATCCTATGCGCATACTACTACAATATTCATTGGTAATAAAACATAGTGAATCTTTCAAAGATCCTGAACATGCAATAGTATTGCATGTTCAGGCCCATAGGGCTAAATACCTATACATGTACATACGAGTATGATGTTACATCATGTTCATGGATATACATGTAGATACTAAATGACATATAATACATATAATAGAATAAAAATGATAAAAGGATATCGATAACGTAAAAGTCTCAGGAAAAACTAGAAAGTACATTCTATCTAATCTAAGATAGAATTAATTAAATGATAATTCTTTCACGTAACATGCCGAAAGTCCCAATTCTTAAAGATTACCAAAAACCAACTAAGGCACATTCTTATCATGGACTTAAACATTCAAGGTACGTTTGATCATCTACGTTTTTAGTTTTGCAGATAATCTTAGCATGGGGTTTAAGCAAAAAAAATATATCACCGGAAGTAAATAGGGAACAGAAACACGCAACAAGCTCCGGTATCTGCTGCCACCACCCTGTCATCACTGGTTAGGTCTATCGCTCGCGGCCATTGCAGCTTCTCTCTGTCAGACGCAATGACTCTCAGAAATCTTCCCGACGAGTCAAACATCTGTATCCTGTGGTTCCCCGAGTCCGCCACGATGATGTTCCCCAGGTTGTCCGTACAGACGCCCGTGGGGTGGTACAGCTGTCCCTCGCCGTTCCCGAACGAGCCGAACTCGAAGTCGAACCGCCCGCACGAGTCGAACACCTTGATGCTTTCCTTCGTGGCCAGACTCACTACGATGTTCCCATTGGTCGGATCCGTTGCTATGGAGCATGACGTAGATCTGCCCGGGTTGTCGTCTGCAGAAAAAGTCGCCACTCGTTTTCCCTGAAAGACAGCCAAGGGAATTTGAGTATGAAGTTTGAGAATTGGACATAAATACCTCGGTTTGCTCAGTATATTCAAGTAGAAGCAACTGAACGCAACCTAGCAAACAAGAAATCGGAGACTTTCTGGTTTTCGCGCCCTTCAAATTCACAGTGTTTTAGGTTTTCCAAAATGTATCAAAACTGAGCAGGGGATTGCAATTCAATCACGTACTACACCACTTCCTGAATTCCTCCACATACCACCCAATTACTCGTGCTTGGTCACCTTTAGGCTTGACCTCCCCTATCAATCAACTGTCAAAATCACCCTCCACGTAACCGTCGCTACTTGAATAGTACCCAGATTAAGTATTTGAAAGTGTCATGCAAATAAGAAGGAAAAAACGTTTTTGTACCTGTTGATCTATGATGTAAACGTTCCCAGAATTCTCGTCCACAATGGCGACGTTTCCATCCGGGCACTCTGTGATGTCAGCCTTACGTAAGAACGGGATGCCAAGGCGCATGCTCCGATGCAGGTACCCATATTTGCTGTACTCTTGCAGAACCATGCACGACTCTTTAGGAGAGCTTCCTATAAAAACACAAATAAGAAGTTAATTATTACTATCACAAAAAGGATCTAGGCAATAACCACCTACCTGTAAACCAATCGGAGATTTAAGACTTGAAAAGTACAAAATGTATTTTTTTTTAATTTTGTGACTTTCAAGTACACCCCACTCATTGTGTCCAATCTTATGACGTCCTGCCATTCTGCCTGTCAATCTTGCCCCACCCACGTGTTGTCAACCCATTCTCGAGTCCATTATATACTCCCTGTGCCTGACCTTTGGATCGGACCTATGCCATTATGGCTGTAAATCTTCCCCATCCACATACTCGAGTACTCGCTGTCAATCTGCTCTATCCAAACAAGCAAATACACAAACCCATATCAGCTCAGCCATATACCCTAAACCATACTTCCATATCCGGAAGTAAAACTTTTGCACCCGGAAGTAATAATAGTGAGAAACGAACCTAAGACGATGATGTGTTTCTCGTATTCCCGGAAGCTCATGGCCCTGACGTTCACGTCTTCGAACAGGATTCTCTGCTGAAACACTCCCATCAGATCAAACACCTGGATGCTCGCCTTCTTCAGACCACAGTCTAAGACAAACACGTCTCCATCTTCCGAGACGGCGATCCTTTCTGGAGAACAGAATTCTCCGTCTCCTGTGCCTCTCTGTCCGAATGGATTCTTAGGACGGGCGGGTAACCTTGTTGGGACCGACATTGAGGTCGGTACCGGCTCGAGTAGAAGACTCTCAACTTCGTGGAAAAGATCGTCGCTTTCCGTGTCGCCTCCGACTGCACCCGAGGATGACGTAGCAGCCTCTTCTTGAACCGTCGGGTCGGTTGAAGAAGCCTTGCTGTCCTGCTGTAAGGCGATCGGGCTGTTTGGAACAGCAACAGCTTCCAAGGTCAGGAAGCTGTCGGTGTCGTGTGGGCCGCCATTTTTCTTCACTGTGTCTGCATCAGCTGCCTTCTCTTCGATAAAGCCAAGCTTGAAGTTGGCTAGCGGAATTTGTTGCGCGCGGAAGACCACGTTTAAAGTTGGAATGGTTAGGTCGTTTTCAAAATCATCGATTGCCGCTCCACCTGTTTGTTTTAACGTATCTTTTATTGCCATCATCTCAACGAGATCCTCTGCTGCGGAGGCTTTGTTGACTCGTTCGATGATGGCCATCCGTTCGGCTAGCTCTTGTTGGACGACTTTTCTGCGGTCGGAGATGACCTCTATTCTCCTCTGTGCTGCACTAGACACTTCTCCCAACAAGGCGTCCCGTTCCTTCTCAATCTCGTCCAGAATTCTCTGCGCGCAGAGGCGGATTTGGACGTCGACGTCATGCTTTTTTTCGTGGATCTCCTTTTCCGCCATGTCCAGGGTGTCAAGTTTGGACACGAATTTTCGAAGGTTACGTCTCTCCTCTTCGATCTGGGTTTTCATCTCTTCCCGCTTTTTCTGTATGACCTGTCCGATTTTTGTGACGTCATGCTGATTGTGATTGAAGATTATGCAATCCGAGCATATTGTGACGTCACAGCTCTTGCAGAAGTATTTCAGTTGTTCGCCTTCGTGTTCCTGACACAACCGCCTTCCTGTACCCACAATGCCCAGCGACTGCCTCTGCGCCTCCAGGATGTCGCGGAAGGATCCGATCCAGAAGTTATCACCGAGCCCTTTTACTCCTTCCGGTGGGAGGATAACCTGCCGCCTGCAATGAGGGCAGGAGAACTTCCTCTTGAGTTTTGTGTGCGCCTTCAGGCATCTCTCGCAGAAAGTGTGAGCACAAGGAAGAATCTTAGGCTTCTTATACGGCTCCAGGCAGATTCCACAAGACAGGAAATCTTCTAGAATAGTTTCTGATGGACCGCTTGCCATGTTGTAGACACAGTCGATAATCAAGTTCCTTCTCTAGGGTACTGATCAGCCTTCAATTAAACCTTGCGGATAGCCTGTTCAAATATAAGAAATAGTTATTGAAGTAAATACAGACATACACACTTACATACATGTACATGATATATTACCATTGTTAATACAGCTGTCAGAAAACATAAGAAATACATTGTTAAGATATGAAGACAATAAATATCATGACTATTAAAGAGGGAAGTGTACCGCTAGCCCCTTGATACGGAATTAAAAGGCCAGGGCATAACTCACCTTTCTTGTACGTATACAGCCTTTCAATAACGACAATTTCGTCCCTTCAAACTAGGTCTAAGGTTATAACCATGCTATAGTTTACACTGCTCTTAAGACATGAACAATGGTTGCTACGTTGACGTGTATGTCCTAACTCACTGTAATATTCAAGCGTTCTGGACTGGCTGATGACTTAAGAGTGGTTCCGTATTTTCTACCCGCACCAGTATTTATACAGGCAGTGTTTTGACTGATCTCGCATACCAAATGCATGAGTCGTTAACGACATAGCTCTTATCACTAGTGTTCTCACCCAGGCATGTCGTCATGACTTTGAGTTCTGGTTGGTTAGGTGTTAATTATTAACGCACTGTTTAGCGCGGTTTAATACGTTGTTGATTTTCAAAATGGCCGCCGTGGGATATACCATGTCAATGTTACACAGTGGGGGCCTAAGGGGTGAGCAATTTCTTCGAAGTGTAATTTTGTCAGCGGGAAAGTTACAATATGCCAAGTTGAATGCCAACTCCATATCTACTTGGTGATCTATAGTGTAATGTCTATTGTACCTACCTTTAATTGTAGTGTGGCTTTGATGTGAAAATAAAAACAGTAGAGCAAAGATTGATTGCTAGATTGCTTAAACAAAACCCACTATTCTGTATGTACAACGTGGGTACTAGTAAAATATTGGCATACTAGTAATACGGGAACTTTGAACAAAATATCATTAGATACTGTAGACAAACAAATCCATGAAATGTAAAGATCGTAAGTACACACCTATGTGAAGAGTGTTTCAACTGCAGATCCAATGGTTCTAGCGTACAACGACAGGTACAGCTATACCATACAGTACCACCTCTAAATCATATAACTACCCCTTCATCATCAAATATTTAGTGATGACGCCATATGCACAGAATTTATCACGTTAGTATTGATCATCATGCCCCTTATGGCTGAGTGAACACGCAAGAGAGAATGATACAGTCTAACTTAATAACCTTACGTTTTATTGAGGGTCGCCAGTGAAAATGATACCTTCCTACATGGTATAATTAGAATCATTTCGATATAACTCAGTCCGTTTTGCCCCCACGTTATTTTATGCCTACGTTTTACAACTCGCTGTATTTCATAGCAGCTCATGTAGCTTACATTTGTATAGTGCAACATAAAATCTGACAAAAATGCATTATGAAACACGAAACGATATCACAGTGTGCTACTCTCCAAGCAGAGGTTTGGGATTTGTCTTATTTTTTAGTTGTTTTAGGCTTTTTGTTTATCGGGCTTTCTTTTTTGTACTGGTTTATTTTTTAAAACATGTTGTTTTTGCTATGTTTCTTCTTCTTCTTTTTCTCCAAACAGTGACCTCTGACCTAACTGAACCAGACTGTCTCTATCTCACCATGGTAACTGGTGTTGGGTCACATCATGTTGCAATTTTATAGTAGGAGGGATTTAGACTCCTGTCACCATACATGTGAATGTGTTTGAGTACAGACCTTATGCGAAGGTAAACATTATGCATTTGTTTTCTAGTTTTCAATTTGTGCCACCCAAAAAGATACCAGTCCAAAAAGGGAAATCCCGATAAACAAGAAAGCCTAGAAACACGCCAAAAAAGCCAAAGCCCAAACCTCTGCTTGGAGAGTAACCATATGCCACCTCACACGCCTGTTTTGTTGTCTGGCTGACTTGACGAAAATTGATGAAACCATTTTCTGGCAGAGAGATTTTACGAGAAGAATAATAGACGATAAATCGACCAGACTGTTTAGAAATCGCCAGCCTGTAAAACTACCAATCCATCTTACTTTACCACGACTTCTGTCTGGTGGAACAAAACAAAACGCATGAGAGAACAGAAGTGACGGTTTCATAGGTCTGTAGAGAAGAGGTTCAGATAGGGTGTTGTGAAAACGGGAAGGTCAATTTGAATGTTGTCACAATGTTAACATTTTACTGGCAATGTTAAAATTTCACTTCAAACACAAACATATATTGAAGGCACCAAGTGCTTCTAGCTCTTTTTGACTGGTGTACATGTCCGTCAAATACAGAAATGGATATAGAAGTCACAACACTACATTTTCGTACTCATATATACATATCGTAATTTAAATCATCACGGTACTTCAGACACCACTCAACGATGTATGCCTGCTTTTGCAAATAAGTCATCTAGTCTTATCTCTTATCAATGTTTCTTTCCAACTGGAAAATGTAATTGAAAGATGACCCATTGCAGATGTACATTTTGGATTAGAAAATTGCATTGTTTTAGCCTGGTTACAAGACCTATTATACTAGTAGTAGCTCCCGAGGTCTAGTAACCAGGCTATTGTTTGTTTTTTTTTTGACTGATCACTGAATGCATTACGACTTCTCCCTGTATGCCCAACATCTGCTTAGAGATTTTGTTGAAGAGGCCTTTGTTTGTGTGAATCTTCACTAGAATGGGTCAGTGCGCGTCAGCTATGCTGGTCATGTGTGCTTTGTAAACACACGTGAAAGTCCAGCCGGTAGAATTTGCTAATCTCCAAGCAGAGGTTGGGGATAAAATTGTCCCGTTTCTAACCAGCAGAGGTTTTAACATTCCTGTAATGCTAATGTGCAGAAAAGTTTACGAATTCCCACCTCACATCTGCTTTGAGATTTATATGATACTTTTTATGTGCTCAATCGCGCGTTACCCCCCCCCCCCACCCAC